GACACCGGTACCCATCCCTAGTCCCAATGGCTGGAATTTCCATTTGGTAAAAGGCACGAGTATAAACTTTTATGCATCACTAACTTGACACAAATTCCAGTGACAAAGTGATGCACACAGTCTGTGCTGCTGCAACCTTACAGAGGAGCTTCATTAGCTTGTGTTGATGAGGTATGGCTCAGTGGGTTGAACATGTGTTTCTTATAGCTACGTCCCAATTCAGCGGCTGCGCCCTTCAAAGGCCGACCAGAGCTGCTGCTAAATGAGGCGGCTTAGCCTCTCGTGTGCTGCTTCTGTTGCCTAGCAACCATGACACTAACAGGTAGTGATGAGCCCACAGCCGGTGGCACACAATGAAACTTGGGATAAGGTGGGCTATGAGGGATGCGCTCAGCATATCCTTGAAAGCCCGGGAAGAGGACACATTTGTAGGTCACTTTCGAGGGAGCCTTCGGATGTGAACGGCCCTCGGTGTCCTGCTGTGATGTAATCGAGCTGGTCTTTCCCTCAATACATGAAATCATCGCGTTATTAGCTTCATTTTATATTTGCTCTTTGTCTAGTATTAAAATTAGTTTGATCTGAAACATGTGACAAATTGGGGGGGGGGTTGTGAAGAAATGACGATGGGATTTTAAATCTAAACTGAGCATAACTGAGCACGTTAGTTCTAGCCAGGTTAAAAACAGCTACTTCCTTTGTAGTAAACCTTCTGCAATGCACAGATTTGTCCTGGAAAAGATGCTCTTATCATCAAAGTAGCTGTTTGTCAACATGGTTCTAACTGGCATTGATTTTGTAATAATCACTGTTTGTTTTTTGTTTTGTTTTTTTACAGGTTTAACTTCATCTACAACTAACTCAAATGATCAGAAGTACAAGCGGCCGTCTCTGTGAGTGCGTCCCGCAGTGTGGAGAAAAGACTTCACCTCAGCACCATCTTTCACAAAACAAATGCTTGTCATGTCAGGTATATCTGCAGACCGCAGGGGTGTTTATACTGTTTAAGAAGACTATGAAAATGTCGTCTTCTTTTTTTTTCTTTTTTTTTTTAACCTTAAGAGTTGTTGTAGTCTGCAGGTCTGTATTCCAGTGCGTTAAAAATCGGATTTTATGTCCTCTCGAAGGAGGCCAGTGTTTGATTAAACAAGCTGAAACATTGAGTTTCCTGTTGTTTTAACCTGTAACAATGCTGTGTTTTCTTTTTATTTTCTTTTAATAAAGCAGTCTTTTGAGTACGTTTTTTATAAAGTGCAAAGAGCAGCCGTGTCTGACTGACTTGTTTTTGAAGTTTCAATAATATGCTACATTACATCTGTTGCTGTTCAGAAATACAAATCAAAGACGTTTTGGAGAAGTTAGCAATTTTTGTGATGTAGGCTGAATTAAAAACAACCAAAAACTGGTAAAGTGACAGCAGGTGCCATTAAAATCTGGGATCTAATTCGAGGAGGTCAGACAGAAATGTGCGCATCATTGTGATTAATGTATGGGGAAAATGCTGTGCAGTCAGTGATGCTCTCCTAGGCTTCCCCACAGCCACATCCAGCTCTGGGCACTCATTTGGATTCAGATCAGGTGACTGACTCAGCCAGTCGAGAATGTTTCTCCACCTCTTCCCCTTCAGCTCTTTG